CACTCTCTCTCTCTCTCTCTCTCTCTCTCTCTCCTCTCTCTCTCTCTCTCACTAAAAACACACTTGGGAAGAGTTCTACATACACATAAGTACTCTTATAAGAGCTCTAAATTTCTGCATAGCACTAATTGAAAGAATTTTGCTCCAGATGTTCTGGAAGCTTGTCCAAATGTAGACATGAAGTGGCGTATAGTTGCTGGGTTGGCATCACATATTTTAAAACCAAACCACTCTCCAGGGATTCTTCTAAGTTCCCTCTGTAGGAATAAGATGTTAGCTCTTAACATTTTACAGTTTTCACAGGTAAGGTACATGTTTTTGCTACATACCTCTTGAGGTCAGGAATAGCAGTTTAAGTCACGATTTTTGTGGCAGTAAGCAGAACAGACACTAGCTCCACATTTGATACACATTTACCAGACCACACCTTTCCAGAATAAAAGTATTAGCTTCACAAAACATGCTCTAGGCAGAAGGAACCCTGGCATGATGCACAGACAGTTGCTCTTGGGCCACACCTTGCACAAGCTCCTCAAGGGCATTGGCCTTTGGCTTCCTTCTTATGGTCTACACTGTGGGACTGGTGAGATAGCTCAGCAGGTAAAGGTCCTGCAGACAGGCCTGAACATCTCAGGGAGCAGGTAAAGGTCCTGCAGACAGGCCTGAACATCTCAGGGAGCAGGTAAAGGTCCTGCAGACAGGCCCGAACGTCTCAGGGAGCAGGTAAAGGTCCTGCAGACAGGCCTGAACATCTCAGGGAGCAGGTAAAGGTCCTGCAGACAGGCCCAAACATCTCAGGGAGCAGGTAAAGGTCCTGCAGACAGGCCCGAACATCTCAGGGAGCAGGTAAAGGTCCTGCAGACAGGCCTGACAACCTGAGCTCCACCTCAGGGACCCACACGGTGGAAAGAGAGATCCAACTCCCACAAGTTGTCTTCTGACCCTCATATGTGCGCCACCCACAAATAAGTAAATGAAATTTAAAAATTATTAAAAGTCTACAGTGTAGGACAAGAAGGCCTCTTTTAGTTAAGTATGCATCTAACTGGAGTACCGCAAATAAATCTTAGAGGTTTGACGCAGTCCTTTTGGGTACTTTATCTACAGTCAAGTCCTACTGATTCTTAAAGGCAGTTTCTAACAAACTTGATATTTGATTACAAAATACTTTCCATTGTTGGTCAAAAAGGTAAAACAGATCAGATATGGAAAGACTGATGACCAAGGCAGATTTCTCTTCCAAGCAAGGAAACTCTCCCCTCAAAGTACATCAGATTCAACCCAAAACCTGTATCCTAGCTAATCCAAAGACATTCGTTCATCCTAACTAGATCAAATTCATTCATTCATCATGGTAATCTCCATCTTCTATTCCTTTTTTTGTTTGTTTGTTTTGTTTTTTTTTTTTTTTTGTTTGTTTTTTTTTTTTTTTGGTTTTTCGAGACAGGGTTTCTCTGTGTAGCTTTGCGCCTTTCCTGGAACTCACTTGGTAGCCCAGGCTGGCCTCGAACTCACAGAGATCCGCCTGCCTCTGCCTCCCGAGTGCTGGGATTAAAGGCGTGAGCCACCACCGCCCGGCTGTTTTGTTTTTTTGAGATAGGGTTTCTCCGTGTAGTTTTGGTGCCTGTCCTGGATCTCGCTCTGTAGACCAGGCTGGCCTCGAACTCATGAAGATCCTCCTGGGTCTGCCTCCTGAGTGTGGGATTAAAGGCATGCACCACCACTGCCCAGCCCATCTTCCGTTCTTAAATTAAATTCACCCCCTGAATAATGTAACTTAGTCTTTAATGATGGTAAAACAGTAAATGTCATGTAAATACTTCATCCTGATGCTATCTCGGCTTCTTGGTTCTTCCAAGACAATGGAAGAACTGACCAGCCCTCTCTTATGCCTCTCTTAGTCAAATAATCTGCTGGCCATTCTGGTCTTGCCTTCCTAACTAGTGGGGCACTATTGAGTGGCACCTAATTTTAACAAGAATTGGAGTTACCTAAGATACCTTGCATACAGAAAAAAAAATGAGCTATTTCACAGAATTTTACCCCCAATAACGTTAAAAGTCTCGGTAGAAGGACGGTGGAAGAACGCCGTTTGCCAGCTCCTGGTGATCAGCTCCTTCAAGGCACTGATCACATTTGCCAGTTTTGATCTCTGAAGGGCAGGACAGGGCTAGGCATGGTGCTGCCCGCCTGTGGACTCAACACTAGGGTTGCAAGTTCAGAACCACTAAGACCCTGTTGTGGGGTAAGAGGGAGACGGAGTACCATAGCTCTCAGAATATATAATATTCCTGAGCCTGGCTTTGAAAGAACATTCATCGATCACTAACAGGAATCCAAATCCATATAAATCTTGTAGAAAGTCAGATACATATAGACTCATATAGACCTTAAGAAAATTATGGTATATTCAATATATGGACGTACAACAGGAAGCAATTTTTGACTTAATGTTAAAAAACAATCAGGACAGAAGATGAGGGTACAACTCAGTAGCAAAGCCATTGCTTAGCATGTGCAAGACCCTGGGATCCATCCCCACACCACACACACACCCCTATTGTTGGAGGTTTTTGCTCTCTTTGGGAGCATGCCATCCAGTTCCCCAATAAATCACACATGGAGGCTTATTATTACTTATGAATGCCTGGCCTTAGTTTGGCTTGTTTCTAGCCAGCTTTCCTTAACTTATCCTGTCTACCTTTTGCTTCTGGGCTTTTCCCATTCTCTTACTTCTGTAAATCTTACTCTTACTCCATGGTTTGCTGTGTAGCTGGGTAGCTGGCCCCTGGAGTCCTCCTCCTTCTCTGGCTCCTAGATCTTTGATCTCTCCACCCAGTTTTTTTCCTTCTATATATACTCTCAGTCTGCCAGCCCCACCTATCCTTTCTCCTGCCTTGCTATTGGCTGTTCAGCTCTTTATTAGACCACCAGGTGTTTTACACAGGCACAGTAACACAGCTTCACAGAGTTAAACAGATGCAACCAAAACAAAAGTAACACACCTTAAAACATTCTACTACACACACCCCAGGCTAAAAACTATATATGAAGTAGAAGTATATAATTACAATAATTACAAAAATACAGGAAGTATGCAGGGGCCCAGGGGAGATTGCAAAGAACACTGCCAAAATGTTGGCTAGCATTTTTTTTCTCCATATGCTGAATTTTACTTATAGAGTATGCATTTTTCAAGATGAAACAATATAAGGGGAAAGGATGGGAGACCTGCTGGGAGGGAAGGAGAACTGCTTGACGGAAGTAAGGGAATAGAAGAGAGTTTGGTTACCATTTACTAAGTGCTGTTATTAAGCCTTCACCCTAACAATCCACTAGGTGTTCACAATAAGCAAATTATAGAATATCTGTGCTGGGAGGACAGCGTGCCTAACCTTGTCAACAGGTGTAAAAAATAATTACAGACTGCAAACTGCTTCACCGGTTTTGACACATTTGCAAACCAACATCAACCGTCTCTTGAAACGCCTGTTCATATGCCCCTCTAAGGATCAGCAACCCCTGAACTAAGCATGATCCGCTTGTATAATAATGCCAACCCCCTATCCAATGTTTTAGCACATGCTAGCCTCTGGTAAAACACAATCCTCTAAGAATTGTTCTCATCCCACAGATAGGAACCTGAGGGACAGAGGTTAGGTGACCTGCCCACAGTCATACAGCGAAGAGTCAACACCACACATTTAAAACAGACGTCATGAGTTCTATACACCTCTACTTCACAGGGTCCTGGAGTGATAGTACTGGCCGTGAGCTGGCTCCTTAGCTCTTCCTACCTCACTACTCTCTCTGATCCACATTTCAAGGCTCATTAGTTTGGGGGCTGGAGTGTATCTATCTCAGTGGTACACTGTCAGCCTTAGTATGCACAGTGGGAATTAAACAGAAAACACACACACACACCAAAGAAAAAACACTTGAATTTGATAGCTATGCTTAGGGTCCAGAAGCAAAGGCACTGGGTGCAGTAACACCCCAAACTCACTTTGCTGGAGAACGTGCACCTCAGGAGGAAGTCGAGACATTTAACTGCAAGTTAGGGGGCACCTAACAAGTCCTATCTATCTATCTATCTATCTATCTATCTATCTATCTATCTACCTACCTACCTACCTACCTACCTACCGACTGACTCACCCACCCACCCAGCCACCTATCATCCATCCATCCATCCATCCGAGTCAAGAATGCCCGCAGCTGTCACCTCAAAGGGAATAAGAGTTTATTCTGGAGCCAAACACGAGTGATTATGGACAGGGAACAGGAATTGGGGTTGCCTCAAGTACCATGTTCCAACATGGTAACGATTTCACGATGTTTTTATAGTAACAACCACAACAACAAAGCCTTAAAATCAGGGTGTTTTAAAAATACATCAGTGGGAACATCAGGTAGGTGGATTACTGTAAATGGAGTAAGCCTGTGCTGTAGGCCTCAGATACTATCTGATAACATTCTTAGCCTTTGGATTGGTGGAAGCTATGGCTCTGTTTGCTTATTTCCAAAAGGACTTTAAGGATAGTCACAAGGATATTAGGTCAGACACGGAGGTAGGCAACAAATGGCCATGAAGGGGCCTAAAGCCAGGCAAAGAGCTACAGTTAGTAAAATTCCAGCTCTAAACAATCACAGGAATTCTGGTCAGTCGATCACCCTGGCAGGACATTTAGCTGTTTTTTTTTTTTTCCTTTTTTCCCCTGAGCACTTCAGTTCACTCCAGCGCCTTACATTTCGTTTAAGGTCACAATTTCCAGGGCCCTTGAGTGTCATGTTAGGGGATGCTCGCCACACCCCTGAGGCTGGAGGTCAGAGACTGGCCTCACTTTACACAGGAAGAGGATTAAGCACCTGGCGCAGACACCTGCGGAGGAGCCGCAGTTCGGGGCCCAGCGCGGGCAGGGCCAGAGAGAGGCCGCCGGCCCTGGGCCCGTCGCTCCGAGCTGGGCCTTGCAGCCCGGCCCAGGCGCCGGGTTACTCACGTTGCACCAGCCGGTCCCCGGTGAAGGTGGCGGAGCAGCTGGTGACCAGAGCACAGGGGACACCCGCAGCCATGGCTGCGGCGGAGCGAGTTCCGCGCCGGCGTCGCTTCCGCCTTGGGCCGCACCACTGCGGCCGGCGCGCGGGGGAGACGCTCCGGGAACGCGCTCTGGGCGGGGCCGCCGCAGAGCCAGCCCACCCCCTTCCGCTTCTCCAGTGGAGTGCGCCGGCCGCGCGCCGCGTTGCTATGGAGACCCCCGCCCCCGCCTCCTAGAAGCGCTCGGAAGGCCCGCACCTCCCGGGACAGGTGTCCTCAGCCCGCCGCAGCCATGGCGCAGGGTGTGGAGGGCAACGACCCCATCGGATCCATCCTAATCCAGGTGGGAAACCAGCCGGGCCGTCGGCCGGGCAGACCTCCCTGCGAGCCTCCAGGCATCGCTTGTGCACCCCAAGCAGTGCCGTTCACACTCACAGCAGGAAACTACACTTTAGGGCTTCTTGCTCTGGGGGTTGAACACAGAACAGGCTAGGCGAGCGCTAAGGAAGTGCGCTACCACTAGGCTGCATCACCAGCCCTCCTTTTACTTTTAGGCCAGATGGCCATTAAATCAGGCTGTCTTTCAGCGGACTCTGCAGTTCAGGCAGGCCTCGAACTTGTGGCCCTCCTGCCTCAGCCTCCCGAGTAGCTGGGGTTATAAATCTGAGGCTCAGGTGTTCAGAGCACCGTTAAAAAATACAGTACTAAATGTTTAAAGTCCATGACTTGAGGGTATGGAGGGGAGACTCATGAGGAGGTGAGGAATTCGAAGAGAAAGCAGAAATATGGGATCTGTGCTTCTTAACCTGAAATATACACAGCTTGCCCGGGAACACACACCAAACATATATTAAAGATAACTTGAACTACAAATCAATATAGAAATGTGGCACAAATGAAAACTCCGGGAAATATCTTTATAATCTAGGGAGAAAGCTTTCAAAGTCTCGACTTCTTCAGTAAAAATTCAGTTTGTGACAGTTAAACAGATTTTTCTGAAATAGCTAGGTATTTTGTTTTTTCCAAGATGTTTCCTCCCTTACCGTAACTTCTAACTCATATTTTGCTCTTTTTGACTAAGGCTTAAAATAATTTCCTGGAAGGTCAGTCACTTCTAGAAGAAACACAAACCCTAAACTCACCAGTTTCATAGACTTCCTGTTAGGAATTGGACCTAAAATCTGACCTTGTATCATTCTCAGTAATTTACCCTGTGATGAGTTTAGCCAAACTGGAACATGGGGGGGGGGGGGGCACGACACACAGACCCCTGGTGCCTTCACTCTGACACCAACTGCAAGGTTATGAATCTCCACGGTAACCCTCACGTCAGACGAACTGGCTATGAGCCAGGTCCTGCAACACTTCACATTTTATTGTTTGTGAGCAAGACTCGTGGAACTCAGAGATGGGCTACACTTGTGATCAGGATCTGTCATAGTGAAAAAGAAGGGTTAAAATTAGCCAAGGAGAGCAATACATAGTGCTCGCTCCAGGGGCCATCCCAGAAGAGTCAGTGGGCATCATCACCCCCTTCCAGGCACAGTATGTGACATCATACAGAATTTGGCCAGCTGGAGACACTTACCTGAGCTTTTTCTACTCAGAGTTTGATTGCAGCTCAATCTCACACTTTGTGCAGGCTCTGGTTCTTCCAGACAGCACAGCTGACACAGGGCGGCTCAAAAAACCCCCCTGTGAACTGCGTTTGTTGTTAGACTGTCTTGTGGCTAAACATCCAGACACTTCAGTCAGGCAGGACATTCCAGGGGCTTAGAGATCATCTCTCAGTAGCCAAGGTTGAAGCCAGACCTCTCTTTGGGTACAGTTAGTTTTCCCCTACACACAGCCCCCTTTCCATTGACACTAAACAACCAGAACACTAGTGGGGACTTCCCCCAACCCTGGGATCAGCCAGTTCTTCCCCACAGGGATATGACCACAGGGGCAGTCTGTTTCCTCTTTCACCAAACCTGGGACATAGCTTGAGGGGGGCAGTACTCTGGGGCTCAGTTTCACACTTTCCCTTAAATTAATTATCTCCAACACTTCTCTTGTGGTCTGGAATAGTATAGAACAGTGTATTAAAAGCCTTTCTTCTTCGCAGTGAAATACAGATAAAGTTGTTTGGCTAACTTAATTTACATGACAGCGAAAGCCAACTTTTGACAGTGGATTGTAAAACAGGAATGGAAAGGTGCAGCATAGTCATCTCTACATTAACAGGTGTCCTGCTTGTTTAGGAAGGTGTTACATAATCTTTTTGTGTGCAGATATGAACACAACATCTGCTTCCCCCAGATAAGGCACTGTGGTGGTTTGGAAGAAAATGGCCCCCAAAGAGCAGTGGTACTATTAGGAGGTGTGGCCTTGTTGGAGGAAATGTGTCACTGTGGAGGCGGGCTTTGAGGTCTTATATATGCTCAAGCCATGCCCAGCGAGACAGTTCACTTCCTGTTGCCTTTGGATCAAGATGTAAGGACTCTCAGCTCCAGCGCCATATCTGCCCACAAGCTGCCTTGCTTCCCGCCATGACGATAATGGACTAAACCTCCGAATTGTAATTGAGCCACCCCAGTGAAATGTTTTCCTTTATAAAAGTTGTGGTGGTCATGATGCCTCTTCACAGAAATAAAACCCTAACTAAGACAGGCACCTAAGTAATGATTCTACTCAAATCTAGGTTGGTGAAAAATGAGTTTTACTGGGATTACTTCCAGGAGTGTAGATGACACCCCCCCCCAAAACATCTCAATTCCCCACATCTGACTCCAGCATAAACAGCTTTCTTAAAGCTGCACACATGGAATCCTCTACTTTAGCTAACCTTCTACACTGTATAGACCTCAATCTGGAAACCATGAGGTCACATGCTGCTTGGGAAGGATTGCATAAGGGTGTAGGAAGGAGTGACTGAAATCTCAGTCTCATGCCTCCCCACCTCCATCTTCAATGAGGGATGCTAATGGCCAGGCCTGAGGGATGCTTGTGAATAGTCACAGCTGCTCTGAGGAAGGTGAAGAGAACTGCCGGCAACCGATTCATAATTATCTAATTCTATTTCAAGTGGGCTTGGAATGTAAAACCTTTATTGATTTTAAGATTGTTTCAATTGTATAACTTCAATTTTAATTTTGAATTAACCCAGAGAAGAATCACTATCAAAAAGAAAAGAATATGATACCTGTGAACAGCCTGAAAGCAGTATCCTCAAATCACCTCCTTAATTAGAACTTTCAGAACTTAGACTGTGTCATCTAGTAAGTTTCCTCATGGGTTTCTGCCATTTTCCATCCCATCTACAAATGTTTGCAGCGTGGCCTGCTAGGAACCTTTACTTCCTCTGCATCTGCATAAAGACTCCCTGACATTGGTTCAGTCACGTGACTAAGTGATATGGTCATGAGCCATAAGCATCAAAGGGTTCAAGAAACATGCCCTTCCCTAGGTTAGCATCAGACTCTAATGGCAGCACAGGTCCATTTCACACCACAGAGCTTACTGTAGCATTTAAAAGAGCAATCCAAACTTATTTATGCTCCATGGTGTGACTTGTGACTCCACACAATGTGAGCAAAGGTTGGAGGGTAAGGAATGATGACAGCATTCCTTTATTCTGCACAGAGGCCTGTTAGGCACCCTTCTGTTCACTATTCCTTCATCAACAGTTCATGACTCTCTTACATTTATGTGTGTATGTGTAGAATGCATGAAAAGATGATGATCTATGTTAGAAACTAGACATTTATTTGTAAAACTGTATAGGTTGATTTTTTTAAGGAAGGATTCTGTGATAATCAAATTCTCAGAAAGTACAAACAAGTGATTAGAGCTGACCTAACATTTAACATACATAGAGACCCTTTTCTACGAGTGAAACAGATTCATGTTAAACATAGGTATAGGTAGCTTCCGTTGTTAACTTGACAGAGCCTAGAATTATCCCTGGAGGCTCACATAGGGGACTGCCTCATCAGACTGGCCTGTAGGCAAGTCTGAGGTATTTTTGGATTGCTGATTGATGTTGGAGAACCCAGCCCACTGTGTATGCGCCAGCCCTGGGCAGATGGTTTTGTGTTGTGTAAGAAAGCAGGCTAAGTGTGGACCAGGGAGAAGAAGACAGTAAATGGAGTTCTCCCATGGCTTCTGTTTCAAGTTCCAGCCCAGCTGGAGTTCCTGGCCTAGCTTCCCTCAAAGATGGACTGTAACTGTAAGATGAAACACTCTCTCTCCTCCCAGGTTGCTTTTGATCATGGTGTTTATCACAGCAACAGAAAGCAAAGCAAGACAGAAGAACTTAAGAACAGATCTGAAGTACTTAGAGCAAACTTCAACACAGTTAATACTGTTGTAATCAAACTATCAGGGTGACTTGCCAGGAAAGCTAATGCTTGCATTTCCACAATCATTCCAGTTGTCAAAGTTCTGTCCCATTGTCAGATATGGGAACCAGAGAACTGGATCTTCATGGAGTTCTATTTGGCAACATTCTATTAACTACAACTTCTTTTGCCTTAGGGCGTATAATATAGGTATTTTTATAATTTTAACTGAATCCAAGGAGGGTCATAGCCAGCATATGGGAGAGCCAGGCCTTGCCGGGAGCTCTAGGCTATCTCATGGAGCCCTAACAACCATGCTAGGCGAGTATTAGGCCTCGGTCTATAGAGGAAAGTCAAGAACAAACATATAAAGTAATTTGATCTAAGTGATAACATCCACTGTGTGTTGATCCTTCAATAGGTCACGTGTGTAGATGTATATGTGTCTTTGTATCTGTATATTTAACATACTGTTCTACAGTGAAGGATCCCTGGTCTTTCCATCAAAATCACCTTTTTAATCAGTTTTGGAAAGTATATTACAGAAGTCCAGCAGCTATATCTTAACACGTAGCTTGGAAACAATGAAGCTAAGTTGACAGCTTGATGTTTTCCCTGGCTTTCTCATCAGTCCCTAGGCATGGTTTATAATACACACATATAACACCAAAATGAGCAAGGTCAAGAGTAACTCCAAGATATGAAGACGAATCAGCCAACATTTGTGCTGAGTAGAAGTGAACAAAGTGGAATTTTACATTGCTCACGACTGTGTGGC